TTCAATATCGCGGAATATTGGTCGCATTTTACCAGTTAGATGGCGAAATCTCAACCGAAAATCAAGGTTGGTAGAACTGATGATAATTAGAATTCCCCAAAATTACAGTTTCGTACTTTCAAATTGAATCTCATTTGATTTGAGGTTATGTTATCAATGTTATGATATTATTGTTTCTGGTGCAAGCGGTGTGTAAGCGCCGTATTCTGTTTTTTGTCGTGAAAGAAATCTGTAAAAAGTGTCGCCATCTTGCGGACAACTGAGAACTAATATGCCATTATTGCGGAATCTGCGGTCAAGCATTTTGGGAGAAACAAAACACTGTCTGTGATTACACCATATTCTATCCACCTTGGACTCGACATAAAGAGCGGTGGATTTGAAAATAAAAATGGTAGGTATGTACAGAGTGACCCATTTGAAACTGGGCCACCCTCATAAATGTTTTATTTATTGACCGATTTTCACGAATTATTTTCTGGAATGCAGAGGGGGAAAAGTGTATTTTGAAGCCAAGCGGCGTCAATTTTTTTAAAAAACCAAGGCCTACTAGATCACATTCAGAGACTGAGAAATCCAGAATCCTTGGAGAACATTACCCCCCCCCCCCCACCCCCCCCGCCGCCGCTCGATATCTCAGCTATTAGTCGTACGATCTTCACCGAATTGGGACCAGTTTGAATAGCCGTCAATATGATGAGTTTCTCAGAGACGAACATCCTGTTGGACAGTGCGAAATTATGTTGTCTGAACTCAGAATGGTGGAGACCACTGATTTTTCAAAATGACATCATCGTGAACTCTACAGCAAAAAACTAACAGTAAATACACACACTGGCACAATTAGGAGAACGGGCAAAATTTACACTAAGTTTGACATCAATTTTCTTTCGAACCGATCGCTCGATTCAAATTTTTTTCTCCACGAAATGTAGCGTCATTCTTCACGAATACGTCTGAGGAATAATTACCTTTTTTTTTTTTTTTTTTTTTTTTTTTTTCTTTCAAATTTACTAATAATAGTTTATTCAGAAAGAATTATTCAGAAAGAATTACAATAGGTTTATAAAATAATTGAATGACATTTTTACAATAATTAGAGCTACCTAAATAAGTTACGATGAGTCTTTCCATCATACACAGGGGTGTAAAGAAAGTACGGATTTTTCGGTATTTTTTTAGACATCCTGTGGACTGAACCACTGATAATTGGAACGATTTCTCAACACCAAATCGGAGCCCAATCTATTCCGAATATTTTCGTTTTTTATTCATCTTGATATCCCAATTATTCAAGAAAATACAGAGTTTTAAAGGAAAGGTAGATATTGGTATCAATTTTACACCTCGAAACTCAAATTGGATCTGGAAATGTGTCGTTTCTTGACTAACCTAACCTAACCATGACTGAACCTCTGCCATATAAAATCAAATTGTTCATTTTGTTTATCTCGGCGATATAGTCTTTCCCTGCCATCTATTGAATTGGTGCAGATGCGGCTCTCATATGTTAAGAGAACATTGGCCCACTGGTCATTTTCAATTAACGCTACAGCCCTCGCCACATCAGTAGGAGTCAAATCTCACGTTGAATTTTCATTAATCGAATTTATGAATTGTGAATTCCTTGACTTTGACAATAATTAATGACATTAACAAAATAGCCAACGTTGATTAACAAAAATAGCAATTCACCAAAAGAACATTGGAGCAACTTTTATCACCCCTGCATATTCATGAGAGTATTCGTATATGTGTCTTTGAACAGTAAACCGATAGGTAAAACTGTGAACAATTCTCATCTTGAAGTGAAAATCCTCACAGAAACAAGTTGAAAAACGACATGTTCTCCCCAGTTCGAGTTTCGAGGTGGTAAAATTAATACCAATATCCACCTCTTCTTTGAAACTCTATATTTTCTTAGATAATTGGGATATCAAGATGAATAAGACACGAAAATATTCGGGATAGATTGGGCAATAATTTGGTGTTGGAAAATCGTTACAATTATCAGTGGTTCACTCCACAGGATGTCTTAAAGAATACCGAAAAATCCGAACTTTCTTTACACCCCTGTATATGATATAAAGACGAATCGTTCGGAGGTGGTTATTTCTCAGATATATTCGCGAAGAATGAAGCTGCAATTCCTGAAAAACAAATTTGAATCGAGTAATCGGTTCGAGAGAAAATTGATGTCAAACTTAGCGTAAATTTTACCCGTTCCCGTAATTGTGCCTAGGTGTATATAATTTTGAATTATTCTATTCATACTAGGACGATAAAAAAATTGAATATGTTAATTTCAAAACACACACTTCCACCGCCAGAAATGGTGTCAATTCATTGGTGTGACTGGTGTGACGTATTAGTCCTAACACGCCTATTGTCCTTGAGCTGACCAATTTCACTGCAAGTTATTGGAGATAGATAACATCAGTTCGGGACTGATACGTCACGGCTCGACGTTCATATCTGGGTTTTTGAAATTTCGAATGGAATATGCTGATTTCAAAACGGCATAGATTCGATTCGACTTTGAACTTTAGGTCATAATAATATTGATAGTACAGGGTGTCTCCTTATATTTTGATCCCTACCTACAGCTTCAACCATATGAGGTGGAGAAAAACTTCAAATATGAAAGTTGTTGGGTTTCATTCATTCAAATGCAAATCTTCTTCATTTCATTTTGTCAAATATATTTATATTTTCACCATGTTCCCTGCTATAAAGAAATGTTGTTTCTTGGGAATAATGAAGTTGATTGATTGATTAAAAATAGAAAAAAAATAAAGAAAAAATTGCTAATTTAATACAGATTCCGAAATGGTATAACTTAACAGCCTTTTTGTTATCAATCTTCTTCAAATGGGCCGCGTTTTTCAGAAAAATTGAATAACTTTTGAACCGTCAACAATTTGATAACCGCATTGACCGATTTCACTAGTTGTTTATTATTGTGAGAGACAAAAATAATAAATTCAAGATGGCTTATCCAATATGGCGCTCGAGTTTTGTAGTTATAATCTGATTTTATTCAAAATTTGTATATGAAGGTCTTCAGGGTCGGAGATTATGATTCTTATGTCAAAATTGGAAATTTCAAGATGGCGGATTCAATATGGCGGACGAGTTTTGTATTTATGTTCTGAATCTATTCAAAATTGGTATCTGGGGGTTTCTGAGTTCGTAGATTATAATTATCTGCCAACAATTTTTAAATTCAAGATGGCGGATCCGATATGGCGAACGAGTTTCATAATCATGATACGATTCTATTCAAAATAGGTATCTGGGGGTTCTTGAGGTCGGAGATTATGATTATTTCCTCAAAATGTGAAAATTCAAGATAGCGTATAGCGAACAAGTTTTGTAATTATTATGATAATGATTATGATATGATTATGATAATACCTTCTCAATACATACTCGTATTCTAATATACATATAGAAAATGAGGAAAAAGCTAGAAAGAAAAAACCATTCCATCTCCTAGATCAACCTTCAAACTGCCTAATTAAAGGGATAAATTCCAGAATTTATCAACTCATATTGTATGAGCAAAGTCATAGATATCGATAGTCTCCGAATGTTTTACTTTGCCGAAATACAATCATGTCTAATATATGGTAAAATTCTGTGGGGCACTTCCCCAGTCTTCAAAAATATCTTCTCAACCCAGAAAAAAATTATTCAAACCATCCTCAATAAGCCAAGGTCTCACCCTTGCAATCTACTGTTCATACAACTTACCATTCTACCACTAGCTTGTCTGTATATACTCGAGGTTGCTTGTTATATATACCTCAATAGAAATAATCTAATTGCACAAACTGACATACACTCCTATTCAACAACTTACTTTACTCACCCAAAAAAAAAACCTTACAACTAACCTACACTCACCCTACAAACATTGATATCAACATTTTTAACAATTTACCAGGAAGTGTCAGGCATTGTACCACTCACCTCAAATTCAGGAATAGCATGAAAGTTCTCCTCTCTGAAAATATGTTTACTCACTTAGTGAGTTCCTTGACTATGTTTTATAAACTGTTTTTAACTTTTTTGATGTTATTTTATCCAACATTTTCGAAATACTCATATTATTTTTTACTAGTATTCTATTGTATTAATTATAGATATAATCCTGACGAATCCTATACAAATATTCATTCTTGTCAATCATGATAAACTTATTCTATTCTATTCTTAACCTACCGACCACATCCAAATTGGTGTCCGAGTGCAGAAAAGCCTTGGAAAACCTGGCAAAATCAAGAAAAGTTAGCCTCATGTGGGTCCCGGGACATTCGGGAATACCCGGAAACGAGGAGGCAGACAGACTGGCAAAGATCGGTTCAGGGCGGACCTCGGTCGGACCGGAACCAATCTTGGGAATTCCAAATAGCCTGGCAATGTCCTCTATAGAGGAACAGCTGCAAAAGCAATTCCTCAAAATATGGCAGGACACACCAGGAATGAGACAATCGAAGCTCCACATAAAGGAACCTTTGAAGAGGCTCGCAAAAGAGGTTTTATTCCTAAACAGGCGAAACCTTGAAATGGTAGTGGGGCTCCTAACGGGGCACAACCACCTCAATAGGCACCTAGAGCTTATTGGGATCAAGGATGACCCCCTTTGCAGATGGTGCCTGGAAGATGACGAAACGTCATCACATGTCCTCACTGAGTGTCCAGCACTGACGCATCAGAGGAGGGCTGTCCTTGGCCACATAATTTTGAGGCCAGAGGACGTAAAAGAGATTCAGCTGAGGAAGCTGCTGAACTTCTCCAAGGCAGTCGACATACCCAGCTGAATGTCGTAACATGTGGGCGCACAATGGGCCCGAATAAGTAGGCCCACGTGCAGGGGGGGTTCACCCGCCCACCAGTGCTTCGAAGAAGAATCTACCGACGATATTCAGAAAAATTTGTTCACGCGATAAACGCTTCACATTCTTTTTGTAGGTTTCACCGTTGTTTTTTTTTAGATCTTACTGCAATGGAGGGAAAATAACGATCATACTGGTGAACACTATCGCCTTGGTCGATCAGCATAGCAAATACATTCTGGACCACACGAATCTGACCGTGGGTCAGTACACCGGAGAGATGAACCTGGATTTCTGGCCCAGAGAACAGTGGTATACGGAATTCGATCAACATCAAGTTCTCATTATGACCTCTCAGATACTGGTCAATTTAGTCAATAACAATTATATGGGTGAGTTGTACTAACACTAGCTGTAATGCCCCACTTTTTCTTCGTTGCCCTACTACAGGGGTCTTTTTTGAATTGACTCGGCCGTTATTTGATAGAAATCCATAGTAAATGTAATCTTATATTACATAAATGAAGAGTTTAATATACACGAAGTGGAGAGAGTTACACATGATGCCGGGGAGTGATTTTACTAAATATACTGCACGCTAGCACAAACCACGCCCACCATAATACGTCATATCTCCAAACATTACCGATATACTCGGAGTCAGCACATCGCACTAAATATACTGTGCTCCAACGCAAGAATACACTTTTCATGATTTTGACACGAATTCGACTGAAGCTCTCTCGTTGTCAATCTCTTGTACGCAGTAAACTCATACACCCAAATGGTCTACTGGTTAGCGCTGTCGACTTTCAGTCTGAAGGTCCATGGTTCGAATCGCTGTGAACTTGAACTTTTTTTTGCAACTTTTTTTTTTCACCAATGTTTTTTTACTTCATTCTGGTTTTCCTTTTTCATAAAATATTTGAAGTCAAATAGGTTAATGCGTTTAGGATAAACAGTCTCATTTTATTCAATTTTGTTGAAGAACTCAACTTTTGAAATATATTATTAATCAATGTGTTTCTACACTCCATTCGGTTTTCCTTCCTCAAAAATATTTCAATCAGGGATAGGTTAGTTCGTTGAGGATAAATAGTCTCTGAGTTTTGCCTAAGTAAAGTACTTTGAAGATGAGATATAACGGTGGGCGTGGTATGTGCTAGCGTACAGTATATTTAATAAAATCGCTGCCGGGGAGCGGCGAGTGTGTAACTCCACAAGTGCGTAATAATTGCTTTACAACTCGAGGAATGTACTATACTTTTTCTACCACTACACTATACTTCCTTCAAGATAGTACAGATATTGTGTTAAGACACAAAAATATCGAATACGTAATTGCTTTACAACTCGAGGAATGTACTATACTTTTTCTACCACTACACTATACTTCCTTCAAGATAGTACAGATATTGTGTTAAGACACAAAAATATCGAATACGTCTTCCGTCACTAGGCGAACTGCATAAATATGTACAAATTACGATTCTTGTGTTTGTTTATTGGTAAATTGCATATCGAGCCATTTTTATCAATTTGAACTAAAATGAAGCCGTTTTTCATATCTCAACAACTTTAAAAGACATTTTTGAAAATGACATTACTTTAATCCTGAGTTTGCAGTTCATGACTTATTTGTGACAGCCGGTTCCATAATTTACATTTTTCCTTTCATTTGAAACATTTCCTTTATGTAGAGGATCCGATTCCATGATTCATTTTTAAAGGAACTTCTACAAAGAAGGAATGTTATCGGTATTGTCTCAAACATAAAATCTAAAAATCACTATTTGAAAATGTATAGAAAACATAAGATCAACTTCTACTTAGCTCGTATTAAAAATTTGAGAAGAGCTATCAAAACTGAAATTGCAGTGGCGTATCAAACTTTCATCGATAACTCAGAAAGTAGTATCAAAGACAATCCTCAAAAATTTTGGAATTTTATCAACCTTAAACAGCAAAAATCTCGTATTCCTGGTAGAATGAATCACGAAGGGAAAACGCTCGTTAACCCTCAACAGATTATTGAGTCTTTTGCAACCCACTTTAAAAGTGTTTTCCTTGAGGAGGAATATGATCTCGATAGCGATGTTTCGATGAATGATGAGTACTCCAAGATTAACAGCAGTTACTTACACGTTCCTATAATTACGCGAGTTCAAATTCTCAATGCTTGCAAAAAACTCAAGAACAAGTGGTCATCTGGACCTGACAATATTCCACCCAAGCTATTGAAAAAATCTATTGACAAATTATTGGATCCTTTAGTCGTCATTTTCAACCTGATTATCAAAAGTGGAAAATTTCCTGATATATGGAAATACTCACGTATATGTCCTATTTTTAAATCAGGAAAACCATCAGAAATAACAAATTATAGGCCAATTGCTTTAGTTTCTGCTCTTTCAAAATTATTCGAGATTCTTTTGGCGGACTTGATGTATGAACACACTCGTCACCTCATTACAGAAAACCAACATGGCTTCATGAAAGGTCGCAGTACATCGACAAACCTCTGTATATTTGAATTTGTTTCGAATGCTCTAGATTCAAGATGCCAAGTTGATGTTATTTACACTGATTTCAGTAAAGCATTTGACCGTGTATCACACAGCAGGTTATTAGATAAACTAGTATCTTTTGGATTCTCCAAAAACCTTATCAATGTATTGAGGACATACCTGAAAGACCGCAAACTTTATGTCGAATACGAAGGAGTTCAATCCTCACAGTTTATAGCTACATCAGGTGTGCCTCAAGGCTCAAATTTGGGACCCTTATTATTTTTGTTATTCGTGAATGATGTATGCTCCAATTTTGAGTCGAAATCCCTCATATTTGCTGACGACATGAAAATTTTCAGAAGGATTAACGACTTATCGGATGCCATTTCCTTACAAAATGATCTGAATCTGTTGAAAAACTGGTGTTCAATAAATAAACTATCGCTCAATGTCAGCAAATGTAAGGTGATGACGTATTCACGAAAAAATAATCCTCTTATGTACCACTATGTCATCAATGATGAATCTCTAACACGAGTCACACAACACAAGGACCTGGGTTCTAAAAAAAAAATTGAATTTAAATCATTAGAAGCACTTTGTCAGTTATACTTTAGTTTGGTTAGAAGTAAACTGGAATACTGCAGTCAGGTATGGAATCCGTACCACCAACAAACAATTTCTGCTATTGAAATGGTACAGCGTAAATTTCTGAAATACTTATTTTAGAGAATTTGACAAATAAAAGTACCTAATTACAACCAAATCGCTTCCAGGATATTCATGATATTTTATAATTACCGTTTTTTTTCTTTAATCTCAACGCCCTGTATCTCAGAAACGAAGCAACTCCGGACATACGTTCATAGGAACTTTTCTTTTAAAAATGACCTAACAAATCACCCCCTGCAGTTAGGAACCCACCATACCAGGGCCCTTTATATGGTGTCGAAAGTTTAGGGCAGCCGATCAGATTAGGAAAAAAAATCAATTAAGTGTGGTGCTTGCAGCCACTGGGAACTATGTATGTAATTGTGGTAACGTAGGAAACTGAAAAAAAAGTATCACTTCGTATATTATTATCAATGCTTCAACCTTGTCAACTCATAAGGAGGAATCTGAAAATGCAATAAAATACAATGTGTGCTATTAGAAAAAGTATAAGTTTGACGCCACGCATTTTTGAGTTACCCTGTATAACGCAAAATATTTCAGAAATTTACTGCTCATGCGACTAGACCCTTTCAAGAATTTTTGTTCATCTATCTCAAACAGCAAAGCCGTTATCCCATTTTGCCACACAATTGGTCCAACCTGTATGTCTACATGAGCCTTATTCCATCTCAAAATTGTGAATTCTCCGAGCTGTTGATGTCCTGCTACAAAAAACTGACCCACCCTGTATATTTTATATTTTAGTTATTCAGTTGAAAAAATTCAACCTTCAGATTAAGGTGATTTCTCTACATAATTTTCAGATAATGGGTCGATACAAGGACATCAAGATGAAGCGTCTGTATAATAATCAGACGCGCTCGAGTATTTCAAGGTCACGATTTTCTTTTGCATTTTAAAAAATTGATCATGACTTTTGGTCGCGTCCAAATCGTCAGTCTTTTGAATAGGAGCTACTTGAGGATTCACTTAACGTCCTTTCTCAATATCTGACGCGCATACACTATTAATATCTGATGCGCTCGAGTATTTCCATGTGACTGTTTTTTTTTACATTTTTGTACACCTGTACACGCTCTCCCCACCGGTGAAAAGTTATATATCATATAAACTTTTTCGTTTTCGCTTCTAATCTTCACAATCTGATACGTCCCACGACGCTCGAGTAAATTCCTATTTAGCCTCTTTGCCTCCCCTACTATTAACATTAGTTGTTCTATGCCCATTACAACTTGTTCCAGAATTGACCATCTATTGTAAGCTTAATCGCGAGCTAATGTTAAGCTGTTGTATCCGCGTGCTTTTATACACCGCATGTCTCATGAGGGAACATACTATGGAACTCTGAAGCGGTAGGAGTCTAGGGTCGTTTGTAAATACTGTTATGTGAATAAATGTAGATTTGAGGTATATAAATTGTTTATATTAGGCTAAATAAATAGTATATGTGCCTCAGTTAATTTGAGTTTTCTTTTACTAGAACAACTAGTGATCCGGAGATTGAATAAGATGAACTTTCAAGTTGACAGTTGAAATCTCCGACCCCTGGTTTATACTGGTGCAAGTTAGAGTCACTGCATGGTATTAGTTTGATAAGAGTTCGGACACAGCTAAACTTTTGTCCTTTTCTATTTTCTATAATAAACTACTCAACACTAATTTCGTCGCACACCAAAATGTCGCCCCTGTTATAATGTGAATAACTTTTTTCAGTTTAGAACAATTTGAATTTGGTTCACACTGTTCGATAGCCCAGTCCTTCAGCTATAATCTCGTACTTCATTGAAACATAAGGGTATTCACATAAAATCTCTACATGGTGTTTTCCGACACTGTGCAAAATTTCGGAATATTCAAAAGGCTCTCAAATGGTGAGAAAAATTTTTTTCCCAACTTCGACAACAGAGACATGAAGATGATCTCATTACTTCGAGATGTTCCCCGAATCAACTTCCTATCTCTCTTATTTACAGAGTGATGTCAAAAAATCAACTTTTTGGTTTTGCAGCCATAACTTCTTTCCACGTCAACCGATTTTAGAAATCTTAGGCTCATTTTGAAGATAAAACTTCAGATGAAGAGATCTGAATATCAGAATTGACTCAAGATGGCTATCAGAGAACTAGAGTTTTCTTGAGAGTGACCCAAATCTGGAACGCCCTCCGAATCTCGGTTGGGAGGAGAATTGAATGGAAATCAACTTTTTCTCGGAAAAACAATTCATTCTGGTTGCGTCCATATTTTCCTCGCTCTCAGTAGTCAAGAATTGAGCGTGAGAAAACACAATTGAAACATGTTCTTGCAAAAACATCAAACCATTTCTCCTCTGTAATGCTTGGCCCGTAACCAACGTTACAAGAATCACAGTGGACTGACAAACCCGACCAGCTAAGGCTCATCATAAATGATGTACCAACAACCCTATGCGGTCTCGCATTGTCATCAACGAGAACAAAGTTGTCACCCACATTCGCGTTAGATGCGGCATCGAAACTATCGAAATCTGTTTATGATTCGAAAACGACGTCTAACCTGACTTGTTAGTCACTTACTGTGATTCTTGTAACGTTGGTTACGGGCCATGCATTACAGAGGAGAAATGATCTGATGTTTCTGCAAGAACATGTTTCAATTGTGTTTTCTCACGCACTTCCTTGACTACTGAGAGCGAGGAAAACATGGACGCATCCAGAATGAATTGTTTTTCCGAGAACAAGTTGATTTTCATCCAATTCTCCTCCCAACCGAGATTCGGAGGGCGTTCCAGATTTGGGTCACTTTCAAGAAAACTCTAGAACTTTGATAGCCATCTTGAGTCGATTCTGATATCCAGATCTCTTCATCTGAAGTTTTATATTCAAAATGAGCCTAAGATTTCTAAAATCGGTTGACGTGGAAAAAAGTTATGGCTGCAAAACCAAAAAGTTGATTTTTTGAGATCACTCTGTAAATAAGAGAGATAGGAAGTTGATTCGCGTAACATCTCGAGGTAATAAGATCATCTTCATGCCTCTGTTGTCGAAGTTGAGAAAAAAAAAAATTTCACCATTTGAGAGCCTTTTGAATATTCCGAAATTTTGCACAGTGTCGGAAAACACCATGTAGAGATTTTATGTGAATACCCTTATGTTTCAATGAAGTACGAGATTATAGCTGAAGGACTGGGCTATCGAACAGTGTGAACCAAATTCAAATTGTTCTAAACTGAAAAAAGTTATTCACATTATAACAGGGGCGACATTTTGGTGTGCGACGAAATTAGTGTTGAGTAGTTTACAATGGTTTAAGTGAATAAAATAATAAGACACATATCCTGCTCTTTGTCTTTTCAATTTCCCTAGAAGCGCCTGATTGTCAGATACGATTTTAGAGGTTATATTTTCTGTCAAATCAATCATAGCCGTAGATGGACAATGGATATAGGATACAAACGTACCCACTTCAATTTATATAGTGTAACACTTCTAGCAGAACAACTGTTATATAAATGAAAAGAATGCATTTAACAACATTTTAATGTTAGAAAATATACACATATGGATAGACTTATAGTTATAATTCCTTATTATTGTATGTGAAACTGTATTCCAGTGATAAGTATAAAACATGAAGTTATTAATATTAAATCAAAGGTAGGTATTCTCAATATACAGGAAGTACCATAAGTACGTTCAAGTGAAGAATTCCTGAGACAATTTTAAGCATTAAAGTCTATATAATGTTGTGTCCGGAAATGCTTCATTTTGGAGAGACAGGGTGTTGAAATACAGAGAACAAATCATTTTTCGATAAACATTCCATGGGAAAAAAGTAATTTATTATGACGATACCTACCGAATACTTGGTTTTGTAAAGTTCTCAGCAACTTCACTTAGCGGCCTAGGAGATAATTAACATGGATCGATATAGAAAATATTTCCAAAACGATAACCTCCAGCGTAATTAAGGCCCTTATAATAATTCCCTTGAAACATGAATATCTATTTATTTTTCACTGTTAAATTTTGAATTTGGTGGCACCATAAACGCCATTCAATGATATATGACGTTGTAGTTTAGTTGCTTTCCTTAGTTTCGTTTTTCAATTTCATTATGTAATTATGCGATCATTTCCTTTTTCTCCATGATTATTTTGTTTTGTATTTTGTGTGATGAATAAAGGAATTTTGTTCTTGAAATCGTCTGCATTGTAAATTGATGGAACAGCAGATTCTCTCAAACAGATTTTTAAATCTTCTGTTTGAAAATGGACCTAAAATATAGTTTCATTCTAATCAGATCCTGTTATAAGAAGTGAATTTCAATGAGTACCTCACAAATTTCGCTCGTCTTCAAATTGATTTTACACCCAGGCCGTTTCATATCTTCTTTCCATAAACGAATGCTTGATATTTGATTTGGAAAATTGAATAAACGATATCCATTTTTTTCAGAATTGGCACAATTTATTACACAGCACGTGATTTCCATAGCTGCTTTTTTCTCGAAAGTATAATTATGAAATTTTATTTTAATTCTGACGTTTATAAAATTAATTGTCAAATTCAAACAATTTTGAATGAAGAAGCGCGGGACGACTATGGTGCTCTTGTCACAATGCAAGGTGTGTAACTTAATCATTCAAAAACCCTAACGGTTGTCATTTCTGTGTCCGAACTCTTATCAAATTAATACCATCCTGACTCTAGTGCAAGTGGACCTACCACTATATAATATGCGGCGCCCAAGTACTTAATTGTAAATATTTGCAGAACCCGCATCCCTTACAGAATTATAATTCAGAATAACATTCAATATTGATCACTGACATACTTCAGCACAAGTAATATCACTGTAAATACCGAATCATTTTGGAACAGCAGAATTTCAGGAAAGTCCAGTGAGATCAATGACACTCCAAATGTTACTGTTCTGTCAGTTGGTTTAACCACTGGCTAATCTTATACCTGGCATTCGACTTGCCGCCTGGTCTCTCGATTGTAGGTTAGTAGCATATTATGCCATTCGCAGTTGTATGTTGTTATGCCCGTGTAATAATACTCTTCAGTATAATGTGAATATTATTGATCAAAGAACCCTAACGATACAGTTACCACAGGATAATAATCAATAATAAGAATCATCGATAGAGGTAAACACAAACAAATGTATGTATTCCAGATTTGAACCGCGTGAACCTGCTGATCTTCGACGAATGCCATCGCGGCGTCAACGATCACTCGATGCGCCAGCTGATGAAGACGTTCGGCTCGCTTGGCTCGCCGCCCCGCGTCATCGGCCTCACGGCCACGCTGTTGAACGGCAACTGCAAGCCGACGCGCGTCATGCAAGCTGTGCTAGAACTCGAGACGACCTACCACAGCAAGGTGGCTACAGTCGACGGACTGGACAAGGTCGTAGGGTGAGTTCAGAGTTGCAAAAAATCTCATTTTTCTGCAACCGACACAAAAGTCGTTCATTTTAATACCAAAATCAGCTCTTGAATTGAAGTTTCCATTACTGACATAAATTTAGGTTTGTTGCTAGGCAACATATCTAGTTCCTTGGAGCTAAAGTTGAACTAGTTCCTAGGAGCTAAAATTTAACTCCTAAGAACTAAAAAGGATGTACTAGATGTCAACAAGAATAAACACATTGTTACGGTTGGTTATTTGGGTTGGGACGCATACCTGATTTGTTTCCGATTTCGGCAGATTTGAATTTCATACCCGTGCTGGAGATATGAATACACCTTATGATAGTCAATTATAGCAATGTCAAACATCTCAGTTAAGTATTCTTGTTTTGATCAGGAAAGCCTTCAAAATTCACATACCTGCTTGATCTGTATTTCATTCCTTATTCTCGGGATGGATAACTCGTTTTTGAATAATCACGGCAAGCAATAGTTTTTTTGTCTGAGACAACGATATTGTTTACCTCTATTTGATTATCAAGTCAAACACAGTGTAGTATGGAGAGGAATAAATAATCGCTATTATTATTGTCCATATGCTCACTAACCTAACATTTTCCATGTCTTGTTCCTATACCTGGCACTGGCGCTGTATTTGCCATTAGAGCACCTGGTCCATACACAAATATGTCACTCTGTGGTTGTATCTATATTGAAACTTCAATTCGAACATCCTTGAAAATTGAATAAACCTGCTGTTAATGCATGTAGAATATTCTCACCACACGGATTTTTCATTGATTTTGATTTGTTGCAATGCATACGTATGGCACGGCATTGGTGGTTACTTCACATATTTATTTGAATTAATTGTTTCGGTTGCAGAAAAAATAGCATGTTTCATTCGAATCAAAAGTGATTTTGTTTGACTCTCAAATTTTGCTTTCGCTCGGCTCCGCTCAACGCTCCGCCTCGCAAATGTAAAATTCGCTTGTCAAACAAAGTGTCACTTTTGATCCTAATAAAACAATCTACTATTCTTTCGATTAGATCATTATTTCTTTATTGAAGCGTGATTATTTCACTCGACCTACCACAACAAGGTCGCCACCGTCGACAGGTTCGACAAGGTAGTAGTAGGCTGAGTTGATTCCATTGACTTAAGTGATATCTAGACTTCTGGCTAAATAAGAACAGATAGCCACCGCGATACATTCTTGAATCATTGAAAAGTATTATGCAACAATCCTAAATGTTACGTTTTTCCGAGTGGAAATGAATAACTCCGTTTATACAAGGACGTCACTTTATTCTATTACCATACTTTCACGATTACACATTGCACGGACGATACGACATGAATACATTTAATCTCTGGTAGGAGTCCATATTGCTGTGGAGTGCAATTTTTCAAAGGAAGGAATGCTAGAAGTCATCTTCACAAATTTTAATGGTGTTGTTACACAATCCGAAGAGACATGTTTCGGTCTTATAATAGAGCATCCTCAGCCTACTTGAAAGTTCTTGAATACAAAAAGATTGATGTGAAAGAATTACATAGTTTGTTCTTGACTTACTTGGAGTTGAAAGAATGTAATGCTACTAGTTGTCGAAATTGTTGTCAATGCCCATAGTCGAAAAATCGAGTTTATAAATGAAAGAACGGTTTCTCAATAAATGCAGGGCCCCGTGCCCTGAGAGCGCATACGATATTAATCTTATCGAAATATCATTTATCAAAATTGTATATGAAGGGTTATTGCCAAAAGGTTTTCTTTTTTTGAAAACACCAAAAATTAACGGGTTTTTAAAAAAGGGGTTCCCCGTGCCCTTATGAAAGCGCTACTTGAAGAAAATATCAATAAAATTGATGAGGCAAACAGCCAGCGCGTGTTTAAATCTAAACTAATGGTTCAAATTTTATCGCTGTTACTTTATCTACCTTGGTCTCAACTCTTATTCCGTGGTATATTCATTGAAAATGGTTTTCAGGTTTGCTCAAATACATGCACCCTCTTTCCTACCTCCACATTTCTTAAGTAGTTGCATCAGCTATTGTTACATGCCTGTGCTCATTGTCGGAATTTCATTTCTTGTCCTTTGACATTGACTTAGACTTATGTCAAAGTCTTGTCTACGTCATTATTTGACATTATGTTCAGTGTTTTCTAACTCCATTAGGGTAGTGAGTGCAGAGTTGCAAAAAATCTGATTTTTTTTCGATTAGATCGTTATTTTTTTATTGAATCGTGATTATTTAACCCGACCTACCACAACAAGGTCGCCACCGTCGTAGGGTTAGTTGAATCCACTGATATAACTCATATCTAGACCTCTGACTAAATTAGAATAGACACCGCGAAAGTATCATACAACAATCCTAAATGTTACGTATTCCCGAGAGGAAATGAATAACTCCGTTCATACACGTACGTCACTACCCAGTCAACACATAATGATCCCAGAGATATAAGAGGGCAAGGAATTTTACCGTGCCATTTGAAAAAAATCGATGTTCTACAAAAACAAATTCTCATGATAATTCATTCTAAACCAAACACAAATCATTCTGATCTGCTGTTCTCTGAAACCAATATGATGGATATTAGACAACTATACTTTCACAGCATTATATCCTACTTATACAAAAATAAAACATACCTAAATCCTATTGCTCATCCTTATTCGACTCGAAATAAAATGAAAATAATGGTACAGATTACCACTACTAATAAGACTATAGAACAACGTTGTTTTACTTACCTAGCTGCGAAAATATGTAATTTTCTGCCTGAAATTTATAAAGATCATTTGACAACTCTTAACTCGTCTAGTATGATAAAAGATAAGTTCAAAACATACATAAAAAAGCTGAATAGAATCACTGTGTGATTACTAATAACTCTTAATGTAATTCAGTGAAATTTGATTCAAGTATGATTAAAAAAAACACTGTCATTTTATTCTCGACACAAACCCATCAACAGTTGTATTAATTCATCTTAGTTATTAATTATGATCATTAATCTTAGAATAGCTTTCTTTCTCTTGACCTATAACTTGGGAATATATAGTTGAATCACCTGTAACTATCATTATGGATAACAAAAATTCATTTGAAAATAAGAATGTAGAGACATGCCCATGCTCGACCATTAGGTTTTAATGGGCTTTCTCCTATTATTTTTCTTTATGAATGATAAGTTCACATAATGATAATATTACTATCTACTACTTTCACGCAAAAACTACTCAACCGATTTTTTTTATTTTTTATTTGAATAAATATACTTTTTTTACGACGGGTAAAAGAATTTATTTTGGCAGACATGAGTTGGACACAAAATATCCAACAGTCAGACATCAACCTCTATACGCCTGTACCTTATATATTATTAATTATTAGAATACGTCTTTTGGGACTCGTAAGGCTCGGATTATTTAGATGATGAAATGAGAATGACAAATATCTAACCAAACATCAGGTAGGCACTTCGAAGGCGCAAATTCATTACTGCATAGGAGATACCCTTATTTTTTTTTTATATTCAGGGACTTGACCACGATTGACATTGACGTTTTAGTCTTCTGCGCATCCAAAATGCATGAATTCAATACTACCTGAATTGGCCCATCTAGAGACAGGGCGCGGCAAATAATCCAGGCCGAAGCAATACAGATAGATATTTTCGTTGTAGTGAAATACATTTCGACTTTTGTTGTAGTAAATTATTTCAATGAAATAGGTTTTTAGTTTTTGAAACTTCATTGTATATAGCGAGGTATGTAGTAATTTTCAAATACTGAATCACATTGATTCAGTTCTATTGGAATGCGATGATCTTTGATATGTATTGAAGGGCTTCAACGCGAGCGAAGCCGCGGGTAAAAGCTAGTATTTCTATATTTCAAAGACACCAGATGATACATGTTGTTGTAGTCATGTAAACGCCACCTAACGGCCAAGTGTAAAAAAGTGGTACAACGAGTAAAGCACTTTGCTGACTGATATACCTTGAGTGGAAATAGATTCACCACTCAGTTACTTCGATCGTCAGCATGAGCGAGACAGTACAGTTTCGGCTCACCAGGCCTCATCAGTGTTTGCTGTATAATAACTCATCCTAGGTGCATAATATACTGTTATCAGTTGTTATACAGTGTCTTTTATAAAGTTGGCATCATTTAAAAATAACTTCTGTCTCGAATTAATCAATTGATTCAATAACCATACTTTTTATTTTATATACCTCACAATAAGTTATACTCCCTAAGGTTTTCTTTCTTTATTCAACACCAATATTTTGGAAATGATATATTTTGCTTTAGTTCAATCTCAATTAGTTTATGGGATTTTAGGATGGGGAGGAGTAAAGCAAATATATTTGAAAAAATTGGAAGTTATTCAAAAATGGATTTTGAAAATTATTTATGGAATATATTATTTATTTCCAACCGACCTTTCATGCAAACAATCCCAAAAGATGGATATAAATCAGCTTTGTATTTATTGTTTATCAACTCACATGTTCAAAAACAAAAATAACATTAAGAGGGCGCATCAGTCAAAACTGCCATGCAGAGGTCAGTTTGGTACCAAATCATTAATAAACTATAAGTGTAAGCGCAAAAGTGGTTGGTACATATTAAAGACGAAGGTTGAGAATAGGATATGAAGGAATTTTCCAGCGAAATTCGATTTGTGTAAAAAAATATATGGTAATGAAAAACAATAACATTGACAACGTTTGTGTAACAGAATCGAATAAAAACCTGGCATACCCTAAGTTAGCAATTCAATAAATTTTTGATGAAATAATCAGCTTCTGGAACATTGTCGTTTGGGAATGTATTGTTCGTGAAAATAATTCTGACGTTTCTGCATCTATTTTCAATATCGCCATATTGTTAGCGAGGTTTCGACAGTGGCAGAGTAGTTCAGCTATTGTCTCTCAGAGGGCTACACAGTGAAACTACCGTGCTGCGCTCCTTCAAGAACTAATACA